GGAATGTGACACCCCTGGGACACTGTCCCCACCTCGGCTCACATCCCTGGAGCATCACATTTTTGGGGTACCACATCCCTGGAATATTCCATCCCCAGGGTACCACATTTCTGGGATATTCCATCCCCAGGGTATCATATCCCTGGAGCATCACATCTGTGGGGTACCACATTCCTGGAATATTCCAACTGCAGGGTACCAAATTCCTGAGATATTCGAACCCCAGGATACCAAATTCCTCGAGCATCACATCTTTGGGGTACCACATCCCTGGAATGTGATGTCCCCAGGGTATCACATCCCTGGAGCATCACATTTTTGGGGTACCACATCCCCGGGATATTCCATCCCCAGGGTACCAAATTCCTGGGATATTCCATCCCCAGGGTACCACATCCCTGGAGCATCACATCTGTGGGGTACCATATTCCTGGGGCATCACATTTCTGGAATATTTCAACCCCAGGGTACCAAATCCCTGGAATATTCCATCCCCAGGGTATCACATCCCTGGAGCATCACATTTTTGGGGTACCACATCCCTGGAATGTGACCTCCCCAGGGTACCAAATTCCTGGGATATTCAAACCCCAGGATACCAAATTCCTGGAATATTCCATCCCCAGGGTACCAAATTCCTGGGATATTCCATCCCTAGGGTATCACATGCCTGGGATATTCGAACCCCAGGGTACGAAATTCCTTCAATATTCCATCCCCAGGGTACCAAATTCCTCGAGCATCACATTTTTGGGGTTCCACATCCCCGGGATATTCCATCCCTGGGGTACCAAATTCCTGGAATATTCCATCCCAAGGATATCACATCCCTGGGATATTCCATCCCCAGGATATCACATCCCTGGGATATTCGAACCCCAGGGTACCAAATTTCTTGAGCAGCACATCTGTGGGGTACCACATTCCTGGGGCATCACATTTCTGGAATATTCCAATCCCAGGGCACCAAATTCCTGGAATACTCCATTCCCAGGGTATCACATCCCTGGAGCATCACATCTTTGGGGTACCACATTCCTGGAATATTCCATCCCCAGGGCACCAAATCCCACGTACAACAACACAGAGAGAGATTTTGGGGTCGGTTTTGGGTTTCAGCTGACACAGTTGGGTCCAACCCCTCTCCTGATGTTGAACCCGCGGTGCCACCACCCAAACACCCCTGGAATGTGACACCCCTGGGACACTGTCCCCA